GCTGTGTTGGTATACAGTATTATGAACACTTTTCTGATTCTTTCATGTGACTCTATGAAAAGAAGGGGTTTATGTTTTTTTAAAGTCCTCTATTCACCCATGTTTGTGCATTTTCATTACAAACCTTTTAAAACGTGTTCTTTCCCTTGTGCAGGTGGCAGTGTTAATAGCAATGTTTATTTTGTCTCTGGCAGTGGGCTTTGGGCTTCCAAAACTTTTTTGAAGGGTTTAAGAAGGGATACAGGCTACCATTAATATTTTATGTAATTTTTTTTTCTGTTTAAAAAAATATATCTGGATCCATGAAAAAGTCTTGTGCAAGAAATATGTATTTTACTTGACATTTGCAGTGAATTTTGCGGTTCTTAGTGTCTGACTAAACCATAATTAATGTTCTCAGAAAGGTTGATGTCAAATAGCCTTGTGCTTATTATTAGTCAGTGGGAAATGGCTCTCGGATGTGCTCTATTGCTTTGCCGCTGTTATTTCAGAGTTTTCACTATGATTTGTTATCTGTAAACTGATTAGTGCCAAAGCTTTGGTCAAACGTTTAATGAAGTTGTTATATTTATTATTTCTTTCAAAGATTATGCAAACACTTTTTTTTCTTAATAGTTGGAGCATAGGAAAAAAAGTGAAGACAACCAAAGAAATCATATCTGCAGTGTAGATACATGTAGATATTTGTAGATATATGTAGATAATCTTATTTCATTTAATTTGAAAAGACATTGGACAGTGACATTTATAAATATTTTTCCTCTTCTTTCTTTCCTTCACTTATTGTTTGATTATTTGTGTATATTTGTCAGTTTGTCTGCTCTGAGTATAAACCTCCCCTACAAAATGAGGTCATTTAAATAAGGAGGGATTTTAGTGTGAGCAAACAGTGACTCCTAGGTCATTCCTCCCTGCCTGCTGTCCCTGGTTGCCCCAGCTGCGCGTGGTTGTGGTGATCTGTCACCACCCAACAGCTTGCAAGGTTGGGGTTCCCAGGTGGAAACAGATCTGTTTGTTTTGGTAAGCACTGTTTTCTTTAAACACACCGAGAGCAACCCAAGGTGCCAGGACTAAGCTGTGCTCTTACCAAAAGTGGCTCAAGGTCCTTGTCTTGACTGTAGGACTTTTAATTTTCTCTTTGTTGGAAGAGAAGATCACAGATCCTCAACCCATGGCTGTGGGCAGTGGGCCCTTTAGGATCACTGGTCTGTCCTCTGTGCTAAAGATCCACTGCAGAAGTCCTGGGGCTGAATGGGAAGGGGGGGACCGGGAGCTGTGTCAAGGCTACAGTCTGAACTATGGAAATGGTACTTCCAGTCTTGCTTTTAGGCCAGGAACATGCAAGGTCCTTAGATATATTAGCATGAAACATATTAGCAGTCCATTTCTTCTCATGTTTTAATCCTTAACTCAAGATTCCTTGGGACTTTGACCAGTGTCCCTCCTTCCATTGCTGTGTCCGTCTCATGGAAGGAAGTGTTACAGATATGGAAAGCAAAAAGGGTTATTTTTCTATCACAACAAAAAGTCCCCTTCAAACAAACACAAACCCCATAACTGCACATTGACCAGTAGAAGTGTTTTGAAAGTCACAGAAGATGTGTAACACTTTAATTTCAGATTGGTCACCTGTCAGCCAGTTAGTGAAAATATAGTCAAGCCTTATCTGTGTATTGCAGTTTCATTTGGCAAATGACTTTGTATGATTTGCTTACATGTCTGGTTAAACTTCACTCAGTACACACTGTCACCAAGGCCCACAGCACATTTTTGGGAAGAAGGCGGCACTATTTCCAGACAATACTTCCAGTTGTGTCACCTCAAGTCACACGGAACATGGTGTTTGAAAGCTGCTGGTAAAACAGGCCCAAGCACGGAGGGTACAAGCACCCTTTGTCTCTTCCAAACAGGGCTAGAGAATAAATTAGCCACGTAGCTCCATTTTCCAGAGGTACACGCTGAGTTTACTGATTGCTCCAGAGGTCTGAAAACCGCATCTTAGCTCAGTGGATAAATACAGGATTAGGCTGGTGAAACAAGGGTGGCTTTGGTTTGATCACTTACCCCAAACGCAGTTTTCAGAAATGGCTTTTTGGTGTTGTTGGTTTTATTTTTTCCATGCTAGTGGATCTGACTAACTTCAGTGTAGGATAGGAGCATGGGGATGAGACTTGTGTGTGCTTGTGGTGGTCATGCACACTGTTTACACACTTCATGGATATTCACTTCAGTCTTTCCTCCTCTTTGGGGAAATCCCAGAAGTGCTTTGGCTAGAACTGTGAAGGTGGTCTCCAGCAGATCCCTCTCAGCATCCTGGGGTGTTGGCATCTCTTCAGTCAGTCCCAAGCACATGTACACATGGCCATGGCTAGGGGAGTAACTGCTTTGGCTTCCTTCATGGGACAGTGTGTGTAAGAGTTGCTTGCAGAGTGGAGAATGACTCGAGGACTGCAGTAAGCATAAAAAGGTGTTCTGCAGGCACCAGGCTGCTGGGGCACTGGGGGTCTGCCGTGAGCTAGGGGCTCGCAGTGCACCCCTCCAGAGGAGCTGTGGCTCGGGGCCCCCTCGGCTGGAGTGCTGTCCTTCCCCCCAGACAGACCTCCTGCTGTCCAGTGAGTGCATGTCAGCCCGTGGCACTGGATCCCTCACCAAGGGGCAGTCACACCTCCATCTGGACTGGAAGGAATAAGAAGAGCAGGTTCAGTCGTGCTGTGTAATGTTCTGCCAGTGTAAAGTAGCCGCTGGAAGCGAGTTAGGCACCCACAGGTTAGGGTTGGGGGTGGAAGGTGAGCCCTGCTGCCCGGAGGAGTCAGGAGGAGCAAACGCAGCAGTACCTGCAGAGCAGGTTTCAGCACCTTCAGCCGAGGAGCTCCAAAAGCTGCCGTGAGCCCGTTGAATTGGGCTGGAGGGGGCCGAGCGTGTGTGTGCCACGGCCGTGCTGCTGCTCGGTGCTTTGCCCTCGCTCGTGTTCCTGCTGGGCTGCAAGAAAGGCGGTTCCGCTGCAGCACGTCTGGGGCCGCGGGGGCTCCGGGCGGACCCGGCGTTCGTGCGGCACTGCCAGTGCAGGCGGGGGGGCCCTGGCGTGCCCCGGGTCAGCCGGGGCCCCGCGGGTACCGGGCAGGACTCACCCCGAGGAGGAGGATGCTGCGCTCGCTGCGGCCCGCCCTGGCTGAAGAGCCGGCTCCCTCCAGAGGGAAGAGCCGGGCATGGCACGCTGTGGGTCCTGCCCGCGCGGAAAACGAGTCCTGGGAGAGCTTTTGCAGAGCTTGCGAATACGCAATCGGAGAGGAAAATATAGATTCATTTTATAAAGCAAAGAATGGATCTTTGGGGCACGCAGGCATAGTCGAGAGGGGCAGTAACCTGTGAGTGAGACTCAGCCAGGAATGGTTCAGCTGTTGCTATAAGCTGGTGTTAGGAAGAGTCCAGTCTGCTCGTGTACAGGGCAGTACGTGTGTATGAATGCAACGTTTTTCTAAATGTATGCATTTATTTTCTTCATTTAATTATTCTAATTAAATTAGTCGGTGAGATATTTAATTTACACTGGTGTTTGACACAACTAGATGACAGTGACCGTACCCCAAGATTTCTGTTACTGCCATTATGAGCACAGCACGTGCACATAAAACTGTTAGAGTGGGACACCCTGCAGGGACACTGCCTGTGGGAATCTGGCTCGTGTATCACAGCTTTGCAAATCGCCAAGAATAGTGTCATACTTTTTTTCCTGCCCGGTATGTTGCACACACGATCAATGCAAAAACATAGATATACGTTAATTTTGAAGGACACAGACATGACACATATACACTGTGTGTGTTTGTGCTCTCCGAAGCCCCAGTGTCTGTGTAAAGTACTGTGTGTGTTGCATATGCCAGAAAAAACGCACTCCTTCCCCTCCATTAATAGAAATGACCTATTATAAATTTACCAAAGATACCATAGTTTTATAAATTGGCCACATATGTCTGCGTAATATATTTATTATATCACATTTCATAGCATTTCTGTTTTATGAAATTCAGCCTTGAATTTGTCACATATGTTTTGCATATATGTGCAATAGTTGGCCAAGTATATCTGAGTAAAGTATGATAAATGTGTTCTTTCCATGTGGGAAATTAAATGTTTTTCCAGATTTTAAAAAAAGCTTATTAAGAGCAGCCTATACAAAACAATTACAATAAATCACTCACTTCTATTTAGGTTAAAATTACAAATTTGAACTAGTAACAAAGTGATTAAGAACAAAAGCCAGAAAAGTCACCTTTAGGACCTAATTGTGTAAGGGGACAGAGCTGCACAGCAGAGTCCTCCTCCCCAGAGCTTGTTGTGGGAACTGACCCGGCGGGTGCTCCCAGGGGCAGGGAAGGACACCTCGGGGGCCACGCTGTGCTGGAACCTGCCTGCAGCAGGGGGGCTGCACAGTGCCAGGGACTCAGAGGGACACCCCTGGGCTGGGAACTGCCAACAGGAAGTTAAAACCAGGATAAACGACATGTAAAATGTCCAGAAGCACCTTTGTGGGGGGGTGTTTGCAGTGCCAGTTTTGTCAGTGGTTTTAGCTTGCCTGGTGGACGGGGGCTCTGCCTTTGTGTTTGGGTTTTCACCCCTTGCTTCCTGCTCCTGTTGTCCCTCGCTCCGGGGGCAGGTGGTTGGTTCCCCTTGTCCCTTGGTGTTCCAGCCTGGCTGCCCCAGCAGGGCAGGGCTGTGGGGTGAGCTGCCCCAGCAGAGCAGGGCTGTGGGGTGAGCTGCCCCAGCAGAGCAGGGCTGTGGGGTGAGCTGCCCCAGCAGAGCAGGGCTGTGGGGTGAGCTGCCCCGAGG